GTCCACAAGTCCCTGAAGAAACAGAATCCCTTTTCTTCAGTCAACGCTCATCGAGGGCGTGTGTGTGCGTGGATCTGTGTCTGCTATCTGTGCCAGAGGGCGAGGGCGAGGATGGCGATGTTTGGAGGGTGAAGAGGACGCGGAGAGCGGATGGATTGTTGGGTAATGAGTCACCGGAGCCTCGTTCAAAGCCTGCTCTCCAACCCCTGACGCCCCCTCGGACACAAGAGCAGGGAGGTCCGCTGGAATCTGGGCCCCGGGATGGAAGAGCTGAGCGAGCACAAACACACATGGATACGAGCACACACACATACACACACACACACAGAAAGACACTTCTTGTCTCTCTAACTAGGGTCAAGATCTCGCCGCAGACAACGGGGACCCTGCAACGAAAAGCTTCTATTGTGGAAAATCTGAATGTACAGTGTGAACAATGTCAGAGTGAAACTGTGGTTCATACGTCCGTGTGTGTGTGGCTTGACATACGAAAGTGTTTCAATTTTGTCCATGTCGGTACCTTCATTATCGTGATGGGAGTTTAAAACAACAACAACAATTGCTGGCCTTCCCGTGGTCACACCGTCTGTGTTGATGCCGGTGATCCCAGTAGCAAGTAGGATGTCTGTATAGGATTTCAAAGACACACACACATACGTGCACGCTCCAGCTGTGACCTCTCGTCACAGCTTTCACTCTCGTGTTTATTAGATCACCGGCAACTGTGCGACGGACGGATGTGAAAGGGAGGAGGGGGGCAGGGGGGGCGTTGGCATTAAAGAATGGCTGTAAACCAGTGGGTTAGCAGGACATTCCCTGACCCAACTGACCAACCCGGTGACACGCAGGAGGGAGACAGGAAGAGCAGCTTTTAAACCTGCGCGAACTACAGAGGAACAGGATCAAACACAAACATAATATTGTCACTTCACCACTATATTTAGGCACCATACGTCCTCTTGAGGCTGCAGAATTGCACGCATGCCACATAGGTCAAGCAACTCACAAATATGGCGATGATGTCTCTGATGTCTCTGATGTAAGAAAAGTGAATGATCGCTCTCCTTTTGGCCTATTTTCCTCCAGGGAGGAGGTGACGTGTAGACGGGGCGTGCAGCGGTAAGTCCCCTCTGGGCGAGCGTGCGTTTGTCTTGTTAACCTGTGGGGATGGGCAGAGCGCTGCGGCGACAAGACCAGGCAGGAGCTGGAAACCCGCACCGCCGCCATGGTAACAAATCAAACTGTCAGAGGCACAACCGGATAAAAAATGCATTTGGGGGTTTTTCGTAATTGCCGGTTGTTGCGAAGTTCTTAGAACTTTAAAGGATGCTGTTTCGCTCCGCTGCTTTTGGTGTTTCTTTCGTTCCTTTGAGGGAGGGGAAGACAGAAGATGAGCGTCTCTAAGCGAGAGAGAGAGAGTGTTTTGGCAGGTCGTGTCTACCTGTCTGCACAAGAGGAGCGGCCCACATCCTGTTCCTCGCAGTTACATCACATGAAGTGGCTGGTTGGCACAGCAACAAACCAGCGGGGATTTGCTGCAGCCTCAGCAACAAATGGGTCCTCGCGCTGAAGAGTTTTCTTTTTTACAGTACGTTCAGCTTTTCGACCATCAAATGTCAAGTTTAATGGGTTGATAGATGAGGGTTTGAGTTTGGCTCGGACGGAGGAGAACGTCAGGCTCACGAACACTAATGATATTTACCAAATTAAACAGATTATCACACAGTGAGAGTCAAGAGTACTGTGGTCACAAATCCCAAATTCAATCTACATAATTATTGGGTAAGTTATAAACAACTAAATGACATTACAATTTTTCACCAGAAGGCTTTGTGAGAAGATTGAAATCTTAAATAAAGGATTTAAAAACATTTTTTGTTTTAGGTCCACTGGTGGAAGAAACTGTAAGGATTATACTTACATGTAAATACCACACTGCAAAACCAAAGCACTAAAGAGTGGGGACGATGGGGAGCTTAAATTGCTGTTTTGTCAAAAGTGTAAATTAGCAGAAAGACGAACACATTGACACACGATTGATTAGATCTGATGGATTTAACCGTTCCTAAGCACGGAGGATGCAGCGGGCGGTTGTGAACAGCTTGCGGGGCACTTCGGGGTTCAGTAACTGGCTCAAAGGTACTTCAGCATGTTGACTGGGCATCAAAGCGGCAACCTTGTAAATACAACGTGACCTGCTGTACCCTCTGAGGCACAGCCGCCACTGCGGTCGGCCCGTGTGCAGAGATAAAGAGGCAGACGCATGACAGACGTGGCCCCAGGGAGCGCCAGAGATCCAGACTCCCTCCCCTCCGTTCTCTCAGAGACCAGTCCAGACCGATCCTCTGTCTCTGCATATTCGGGCCGGGCCTGAGCTGCAACGGAGAGAAGACCCGGAGGGCGAACATCCGACCCGAGTCCTGCTGAGAGCCAAAACCAGCAGGACACTCCTCGTGGACAGTTGGTCACTTGCTCACTTGGGGAGAAAAGGGATTATTTATAAGTATAATAAGTATGGCTGAAAACCCCTGACAGCTACTCAGCTACTCAAAATGATTTCAGAAGAGACAATTATGGCCATCACAGAAAAGCTTTTCATTTGTTTTGGTGATTACCCAAATTACACAAGATGAGTTTTGAATTGAAAAGAGTGCACGCATGGAGTTTAGATGAGTCTTCTTCCATGTCTGCACGCAACATTCGAAGCAACAGCTATAGTAGCAGCTGGTTAGCCTAGCTTAGCATAAAGAAGTCCACAGAATCAGAATCAGAAAACACTTTTTTGCGAAGAACGTTAGACGCACAAGGAATTTGGCCAAGCGATTGATGCGTAACAATAAACACAGTGCATAAGTCATTCACAATAGAAAATATCAAAATGCACGATTAAATATAGCAAACAAACAGACAAAAAACCCAGCAAATATATTCCCTAAAAGGTCAAACTTGAAATTTCAGCTAGGAGAAACATGCACATGAGCAACATTTTAAAATAGACTGAAATGTGCTTCAGTGTGGCCTCCACCTCTGTGTGACTCAGTGCTGTTGTGATGTTTTCCTCAGCGTGTTCTTTGGCACTGGCGGCGTGCGGTGGGCTGTGTTTGAGCAGTTTACTTCCCTTACTCTTCCAGTACCAGAAGACATGAACGGACACAAACACGCTGGGAAACGGACAAAGGAATGATAAAGGAATCAGAGCAAATCAGGGCAACTGTTACAAACTCACTCATACAAACTGAAAGGAACGTCGTTCGGTGGAGGCCTCAGTGCCTGGAAGATAAACACACGCACACTCTACGCTATGTGGTCTCGTTTGGACTGCTGTCCTCCTGCCAGCCTTACACATACATTCAGACGGCACAATGGCCCAGTGTGCACCCACTCAAAAATCCAGTTTAGCTGCAGAATAGAAACAAACCACGTGGGATGAGATCGCCCCTTGATCTTTGCCCTGCTACCAATGTGCCCACTCTGCTTCTTCAATGGAAAACAAAACATGTGACTAAAACGTTAAGATTTAACAGATTGTTGGAGGAAATGTGGACTGTCTGATTTAGATCCACAGTTAGATCTATCCAGATTATATCTATGATAAGAGTACATCCAGGGTGACATGGTGAGGATATGTTTGGGTCCAATCCCTTTTTTTTTTGCAAATTCCTGCAGACTAGACTCGACTAGAGAAAAACATGAAGCCATTTATGAAGTCATTAATGGTGTGAATTTAACGTGTATAGTGTGTAGAATTGCTGTAGGCTACATTCATCTCGTTTTGACCCCTGGTGGAATAAGGGGGCAGAATGTCTTATATAAGACTTTGTGTTCACTCGGTCAAACATCACAGCAGTTGGCGGTGAGACACACTTGGCAGGAATATGCTTTATTCTCTGAGCATATTTTTAGTTGTTTTATGATTCTGCCTTAACTTTAAGTAAAACAGGTGTTTTTATTGGTCAGAATATGTATGTGGGAAGAGGAAAGCTAAATGTTCTTTATGGAAAAGCTCTAACGATATTTTTGTCATTAGCTGTGTCGTGCTGAAAGTTGCAACTTGTGCTTTCTTTGTAGAATTAAATTAAATGTTGTGTTTGTTTTCAACCAGTTATGCTAAACTAAAAAGAAACTGGATTCTTTTTTCTTTTTACACATAATGATGGAATAACCCGTCCTCCACCGCTTGGTATCAGATGTTCATTTTGACCCTTGTTGCTATTTGAGCCGTGGAATTAGAATGGGCTACTCACCGTGCTTATTGGCTCGGAGTAACACCCCTATGTGGGATTCGGGTCCCCCAAAGGGAATCCTCAACTTGGCAAAATGATTTTTGAATAAAAAATTTAAAAACAACATAATAAGTAATAAAAATGATCCAAAGCAAACAAAACAATGTCAAAGTTTATCATGACATTGAAGTCAGGAACTACATTGTGTAAATACAAATATCTTAGTCTAATATAGTATGTGATGTAAAGTGTGATGGGTTTTATAAGTAATTCAAAGTGTTCAAGTTGAAGTGTACGTCTAAAAGTATAGAACATAATGAAAATAATCCTCATTGTAACCGTTGATCATATTTAAATCCTGATTACCCGAAACCTTAAATAAATGGTCTCAAGTGAAACACAATATTTTGCTTTGAAATATATTAAAAGTAGAAATAGTAGCATACAATTATACTCGAGTATTAACTTGAGTAAATGTATAAAGTTACTTTCGTCATTTGTTTGTAACCAACACCTGGAAGCTTCCATCAGTCCCAGCTGAGAGACTTTGCACAGATCAACATCCCCCTCTGCTGGAGCGAATCCACTACTGTGGAAACTACTTATGTAAAGGATTTCTGGATGTCTCAAACACCAGAAGATATAAATAATGTATATCACATTATTTATATCTATATATATATATATATATATATATCTATATATATATATATATATAGATATATATATATATATTTATATGTTGTATTACAAGACATTAATGACAACAAAATGCAGTGACGGGGTTAAAATGTTTTACTGTTGTGCTACAGTACGCAACGAGTATGAATGCAAACATCGGGCGACCTCATGTTCTCTGTAGTTTCGTTCAATATGACAAAAACATCCGGCATGTAGAATCCCACCACATGGCAGTAGAGTACAAAACAGGAAAAGAATGAAAAGAACAAACAAATGAAGGTGTAAATAAAAGCATTCAAAGTCGACTTCCTTCTTGTGCTCTTGTTCTCTCCGGTTGGGCAGATCAGGACTGGAGACTAAAATTCAAGGTTTAAAAACCAGTAAAACTGAGATCACAGATCTGGTTTTGTATAGCACAACCGTAATGGCCTACTCACACACATGTGCTCCTTCACACACATTCACTAACATACAAATGGACAGACACGCACAACAATGGGAGAGCAATTGTTGTCCCGGGTCTCTGTCCTGCAAGCTGTATTAGATTAGGAAGGTTAAGTTAATCACCCAATAAATACATTCTGAAATCTCTCTTTGAAACGCAGGCCTCCAGACAAACATTTATATATACAAGTTGATAAAAAAAAAATAAAAAAAAAGACGACTCATTACTAAGTGTTAACATCTTTAAACAGACATTTGAAAGTGGTGTGGACAAGGACGCACACACAAACTGTCTTCTTCTATCAGGCCAATGTGTGGACATTATTTTAGTGTATTTTCACCCATTCCACCGGCCCTCTCTTCCGACTGATTGTACGCACTCGTGCCGCGGTCCAGACCGGAAGCAGCGCCGTGATCCCTTCCGTTACAGCACCACAGGCACACAAGTACAAAAGACACTCTTTTTGGCAGTCCGCCCTGCCTCCTGCCCGTTAGCCTTCCTACGTGCCACTACAAACACACACAGTGCTCCCTGTAAACAAGTACTCTGTCCTTTCGGATTATAAATACTGTTTTGGTAAAATCATCCGCATTTAAAGACGAGACGGAGTGTATTTGAGTGTACATCAATAGAAAACGCACAGAATTGCACTGTTGGAAGATATTCCTTCTACATTTCTCTTGTTTTTCCTTCCTCTTTTTGGCTTCAGCATTTAAGGCCCAAATCTGGAGTGGAAAGTGAGCAGGAGAAATCCCAAGTGATGCGCTGCCTGCGATTATAGGGCCTACTGTAGTGTAGGTACTAACAACGCACATACAATTACTCTAACGGATAAACAGTATTGCAGGGAAATATAAAAAAGATACTAAGGAATGGTGAAACATCCTCTTTGTCATTTCGTTTTGCAAAATCATTCTTCATCTTAAATTTCATCTTTTTATTGAAAATCTTTGCAGCAATGCTCGTCTCTGATCCCTCATCTCCGGTCCGAAGTGTGTGGGTGCCGGGCTGTTTCCGTCTGGCTACACTAGGGGGTGCTGCTCCTCTCTGCAGGACGCTGACAGGCGGTGGCTGTGGCTGTGTTTATTGCTTAATTGTCCATGCTCCTCCCTCCTCAGAGGAAACAAAAAAAGGGACAAAGCGCCCCTCTAAAACACTGATCTGTGGTCTCGGCCCTCGTCCGCTGATTGTAGTCTGTGCTTTTTGGAGGGATCTGATGCCAGATCAGTGCTGGAGGGAAGCTCCTCCCAGAGGAGCGGGCTCAGGTAAAAACGTAGTTGAGGAGGAGCTGGGAGACCAGCAGCACACAGAGGATGAGACAGTGGCGGCCCGTTAGCGACACGCTGTCGTCTGTAGCGCTGCGACGGGTCAGCTGACGACTCAGAGCCACCAGGTTCCTATGGGGGGGAAAAGGGTGAACGAAAGGTTCAACAGTGCTCAGTAACAAAATACCACAAAAGAACCATGTTACAATGGAAAACTGGTTGGTTCAAGTTCTGAAAAAATTTAATCATAATGCAATTATAGATATTTCTGTAACAATTGACGTAAATTCGTATGTTCTACGATCTTTAACACTATCCTTACCCTTAACTTAAACATGGCTGAATGACAGCTTCAATTTGAGAAAACTGACTCAAGGTCTGACCTCTGAATCCATCATGCTTCCCCACTTCACCCTGTGTGTGTGTGTGTGTTATCCTCACCGCTGGATGTCCTGCTGGGTCCTCTGTATGGATGTGATGGAGGCCTCTAGCAGGGCAATGTCCTTCACCTCTTTATTGCACCGCGCACACTGGTTTGAGAACCCTGGGGACATAACAGGAGGGGACATAAGACGTGTGCCGTGGCCATTTCATAACTCTGTTGGCTTCGGTTGTGCTCGCGCGCGCCTCACCTTCATTGTCCGAGGACTCGTGTGTGGGTTCTGGTGTGGTGCTGCTGCTCTCCGTGTTTTGGCTGCAGCTGGACGGCTGGCTGCTGGCCTTCCTTCGTTTCCCATTCATCTCCGCCTGGGACAAGGTAAAAAAGCGCCTTGAGTGCAAGTTACTTAAGCGTCACTGCAGACACGATGGACAATGACATGCAAGCTGCTGCAGCAGGGAGGCGGTTCATCTGACAACAAGCGAGAAAGAAAAGATCTGATCGCGCTCGTCAGCCCAAATATCTGCTGCAGCTTTCGTTTAGATGAAATCTCAGCGCCCATCTGTGATGGATGGACGTCGCTCCGGCTTGGCGGCGTGCGATTGGTCAGGCTAACCTTCTGTTGGCTGGCCCAGCTGTGGCTGTAGGAGAGGCCGTTGTGTCGCCTCTGCTTCTTCTCGTGCGTCTGAACCACTCCGTCCTTCTCGAACTGAACCAGACAGCGCTCAGGGTCCCACGGTCGTGTGCTGAGAAACAGGAAAATGTCATGAGCTGCAGAATCATTCACGTGTGGATGCATTAATGCGTTAATGTTTCCTCTCCTTACTCGACCGCTCAAGTCTTGTTACACTGACCTAAAATCTAAACCAATAAAGGCTTAACAGTGTGTGCCATGTCCCACGTTTTATTTTGGTGTGTGTGTGTGTTCTTACTCCATGTGCCTGTAGGTCCACTCGGAGGTGACCGGGTCCTGGTGGAAAAGTTGGGAGCTCCAGGGTTTGTCCCCTCTTTCCTTGGCCTCTCTCCGCTGAGCTTCCTCCAGCACAAACTTCTCCTGGGTGGCCCTCAGCTGGTCCCGGTCCATGATGGCGCTGGTCACATGCTGCCAGAGTCTGTCAAGAGCATTTTAAAATGACCCAATCAATGTTATATATTCTACACAAACTAGTCACTTTCTTGAGAAGTAAGCAATTGGGGTTTACCTCTCGGACTCAAACTCTCCCTGCTGCTCGATTTGGACCACTTGTCTCTTGAGGCGGCTGCTGCGGATGTCTGAGCTCGGGTTCCACAGACTCTCCTGTTGGCCCGAGCGCTTCTCCTGGATGAACACCTCGTTGTCCTGGAAGGCAACTAAAATGTTCACGCCCATCCCATCCCACTGCAAAAAACATCTATTGTTTTTGTCAACAATTTCCAGAAGGGGGCTGGAGAAAAGCTCTCACCCAGTGTCCATCCACGGTGGCCAGTAGCTCCTCTCCCACAAAGATCTTCCCGCTGATCTGATTCACAGAGCAGGCGCCTCCGAGAAAAGGCTGCGGTCAAAGTGTAAACACCTTCATTTGGTCTGCTGTTATCTCAGAACGTACGGTATCAATTTCCACTAATCAAGCAACCATCACAGTATACAACAACAACAACAACAACAACAAAAACGCTAGCCGATGTTAATTTAGAAATATTATTGCTATTACTCGTGGAAAAGTGTACCTTGAGTTTGAACTCCAGCTCTGTGAAACACTTGGTTTTCTCACACTCGATGGTAACCTTCCCACCCAGCTCCAGCGTCATAGTGCCGTACAGGATCCCTTCAGGAGGCACACGCGCAGTATTACAGCATGAGGGGAATACCGAATTCCCGTTGGGGATGAAGCATAACATTCCCAGCGGGGACGTACAGCTCAGAAAAATCATTTATGACCTTTTGGCAGTCTGTGGTCAGGAGGTGGGAGCTCTGCAGAGAAGTAAGGAGCCCACCCCCGACCTGCACAGCATGGACCTCTACCCTTTGCCCACGCTTTACCCGTTTTTTTGCCATGTCATCACCATTCATATCTATACAATCAATGATTAAATGGAATAAGTAGGCTATCAATATCAAAATCTATATTTCAGTAACGAAAGTAGCGCAGAATATTACATATTTCTATCCTGGATTAAGACGCAAAGTATCTAGAAATTATTAGTGTAGAAATACCTTTGCAGTGAGCATACGGCATGGTGATGACATACTCCTCGTCCCTGCCCAGGAACAGCAGCCTGGCTTTGCCATCCAGAATAGCTGACAGGGAGTTACCTACAACAGCAGGAGGACAGTTGTGCACCAAATCAATACCACAGCCGCTGCAACCCTCAGACCTGGGATTACCACCAAGAGGCTCTCACAGTGAAGATGGCTAGCTAGCAGCTAGCACTGTTAACAGTGCTGACGGAGCTAACGTTGTTACGCCGGGGAGGATCCGCCGGGACAGTGTTGCCAACGGTAACCGCCATATGAGCCCAATGCATTACCATGATGGGCATCCAATGACGTTCTCTATTGGTGTGACTTGCAGGGTACTGGTATTGTTAAAATGATACACAGCCCAACCAATGAGCAGATTGCTGTGCTGTTGCAGTACTTTTATTGCATGTGCATTGGTTACATTGGTCAAACAGATTACATATTGTAGTATGCTGCGTACCATAGAACTTGGATTTGGCCAGGATGCTCCCGCTGATTGAAAAGCCATCCTTCCTATTGCAGACATAAAAGGCAGAGATGGGCGGGTGATGGGACACCTGCAAGGGGAGAGAGACATTTGAGCAGCAGTGTGAGAAAAAGAGGTATCAGATACCCTAGCATGTATTCATTTTAGACCCTCTGCTTTTCACAGGTTTGTGCTCTGTGAAGCTACCAATCTGCTTTCACCTGTTCGGCTATGTAGAAAGTGCAGCTGTCGGTTTGGGGATGAAGCCAGCAGCAGCGAAACGTTTCCCCCAAGATTGGGTTGTAAGGCTTCTTCAGACCCTGGAAAGTGCAAACACATACAATTATATTAGTATCAAAGGAAGAATCTTCTGACACAAGGACACTTAATGGCAGATAATCACTGGATCCAAAAGATTAGTTGAGTCCTAAATAATGCATCACCAATTGTTTGGACTCAATAGTTCTGCAGGAGATTAGCGTACAGCATTGCATGAAGAAAGTCCTATAGATTCCTCGTAATGATCACTTTCCAACTTTCAACCCATCAATCTCCCGTGAGCTCCATCAAAGTTTTTCTGCACAAAAAGGGTTGAGCAAGACGTTAGCGGCCGGCTTCCTAACGAGTGAAATCAAGTGTCTCCCAATGTTTTCAGTGCAGCAATCGACCCAGATAAGAAATGCTGTTTCAAGAGAATTTCATATCAGAAGGATGTGAGACCAACTGAGGCAGCGAGAAAATAAATACTAAAATTAAGAGACTATTTCCCAGTGCTCCCAAAACTTAAATTATTCCTATTAATTCAAATGAAAAATAGGTCTACCATATAATTTTATTTTAACTAATAAATGGTCTGAATTTTAATGTGAAAAACACTTTGAAGAAAGGTAATTGTGCGATAGTCTAATTGTGCCAATCTATCATCTTTAAAAACTCTCCACCACAAAAAACAGGGGCTGAATCCTGAAAGCAAGGTTGTCCTGTATTGAGGCAAATAGGACAGGAAAAGGTCAGACAGTACAATATGAAGTAGTCTTACCTTGGGCTTCTTGTAGAAGCCAGACAAGTACCATCTCAACACCTGCTTGATCCGACCATATCCACTCTCCTCCAGTACAGCCCTGTGGCAGGAAAGATGCACACGGACACAATTACCATATGAAAAAATCAGACGGATAGTGAATGCAGGATTCATCTGGTTCCATGTGAACCGAACATGTACCAGACTGTTACATAGCACTGTCTAGGGTTTGGTTCCCCATACGGCCAACAGAAGACACAGAACAATCAAATACAAAATACTTATTCACTGTTAACTTCATTGTAGAAATTACTCCATTAAGAATCAGTTAGTTATTGTTGCAGCGCAAATTCCCCCCTTCTTAGAACTGCCATTTATTTCCCGGAGACGGAATGACTGCGACATGACTTCTTAAAAGTAACAACCTTTATAGCATCGGCTTTAAGGAACACAAGGCTCTACCACATGAAAAATTAATTCCTGACATTACTGAGTGTGAAACTGCCAGTCATTTACATTTTGAATCAAATGCACCCTTGACGGATCTTTCCGGTGCCCTTTCAAAAGTCAGAATACAGTAACTTTAAATACTGACTGCGAGAGTAGATCAGCGTGGTAGTAGTAGTCGGACAGCTTGTCCAGGAAAGAGCGGGGCTCCAGGATGAAGGTGGGCAGCACCACCTTGGACAGGTCCATGCCCGGCCGCAGCTGCTTCAGCAGGCTCCAGATCAGCCCCTTGTTCTCCTCTGACACGGTCTCCACCTGGGACGCCTCGCCGGCCTGAAGTAACACAGAATTGAGTGCAAGCGGATTCTGGTCACATTGACGGCTCTCTGGTCAGAGATGGCACAAATGTGCAAAGAGAAAATGACACGTTATGTTTTTCAGGTTAGAGAATGACACAGTATGCCTCGGTATGTTTCAGAATGAGGAAACTAGGTGCATAAGTACTGTCAACGTGAAAGCGGCGACTCGCCTCAGCCATCTCCTCTGCGCTTTGCTCCACATAGGCTGTGGCCTGTGGGCCTGTGGACAGCTCGTCTGATTGGTCCATGTCGCTCTCCTCCGTCAGCCGTCCGCCGTTCTCATTGGTCGCGGTGTCCCAGTCATCGTGAGCCTCGCGCTCCGATTTGTCTGAAAAGCCGTCCTGCTCCATGTGGTGATTGCCCAGCAGCACACTGTCATTTAACCTGACGGTAACGGATAGGAGAAGCCCGTGGTTAGCATGTTGATGAGCATCCCTGATATCAAACCGCTTGCTAAAGTGTGTCCAGCTTACAAACCTTTTCTGGAAATAATGTAGTAAATTACAGAAAATGAAGAATCACAGGAGCCAATTAGATAGATTGTTTGTAAAATATGGAGAACTATGCGCTGATGTTTGACAGGTTGCGTATAAATAGATTTGAATAGGTATCATAACTAGCTTTTAGTTAGTCATTACTGGCCGATTAATACATTTTAAGTTTTAATGATTATTATTGGCCATTTCAAGCCAAGTAATGTTACATTACATTACAAAACATGTTATTGGGTTTCACTTCACTGCTGCCGAAGCTTTGTTGATTGCTTCACCACCGAGGCAACCTTTAAACGGCTCACGCAGAGCAGAGATGTCGGAGGAACACTGAAATTACCTACACAAACTCACCGAGGCTCTGAATGTCCTTTGAGAATAAAATCTCCTCCTCCCGACTATGATGTGTAAGGCTACTGCGTCAGAGCCCCCATCACTGTAGAAATCTGGCTGACCTGGATGTATTTAGCTAATATGACCCGTCTAGTTGCCAAGACAACCCCAACACACCTCACCAGATCACACCATCTCATCCTTTTTCCATCCCCCCATTTACTGGCTCTGAATGCGATGTGCAAAAAACGCCTGGTAAACAAACAGGGTTTACCTAAAGCACACGCACAAACACACACACACACACACACACACACACACACACACACACACACACACACACACAAAGTTGAAAATCCATTATTTTCTCAATGTAGGACACATCGAACCCAGAAGGCAGGTCTGCTGCAACGACCAGATCAAAGTACCAAAAAGAAGAGAAGGGAAACACAGTGAAGAAAGTCCTTCACCAGTTTATAGAGAGCCAGAAGACAGGAAAAACAGGAGGGAGAAGAGGAAGTGGGGGAGGGGAAAGTTGATAATAAGCTAATAGGGAACATCGTGGATCTAATGCTTCAACTGCTGTTCAAGTCAAACAGTGGGTGTTTGTGCACTGTGGTGGGTGCACGCGTCAAAGAACAAATTCAATGGGACTTACAAGCAGACAAGGAGAAAAAGGTTTTACGGCAGATATTTCACAGAACCTCCACACGTTTGATCCCAACAAATACCGGAGTCAGATGAAGGGACACGTAGTGTGTCTCCGCTTATCAAACTGCGTTCAGCTATGGATTTCGGAGCTCAGAAAACCACTCAACAGCTTATTTGCCCAAACCACAATGGAAGGGAGTTTGGTTTTTCAAAATGCCCGAGGGCTCGACGGACGAGCGCAGTCACATTCTCGCGCACTCTGTGGATCACTATCCAACTGCAAACGTTATTTATTAACCCAAACACGCCTTGGTGCGGAGGCAGCTTTCCTTACCTCAAAAGACACGCAGCGTAGAGAAAAACCTCCTCAGGAAACAAAACACCAACGATGATTTCAGCAGTGTTTCACAGCGTCTGTCCTCCTCTCCTCTCCTCTGAGGGTGACTAAAAGAGGTGCAGTTTTGTTCCCTTGTCTCTGGCACACCTGCTTCCTGCAAGTGTATGTGTGTGTGTGTGTGTCTGTGTGGCAATGTGTCGGTATGTGTGTGTGTGTGATTGCGACAGCTGTCTGCCGTCTCTTTCTGCGTGCTGTATGGCTCTCATTCTACTTCATCTTCCTGCTCCTCTGTCAGTCATGTGATTGTGGGGGCGGCTGTGACTGGCTGGGAGATACACAGGAGAGGAGGGAGAGCCGGGATGGATGGCCAGAGGGAGGGTACAGCCATAGAGAAGGGGAGGAGGGGAGGAGGGGATGTCTAATGTCGAAGGCAAAACAGCCGACAAACAGCAACGTGCACTTTCAACAGTGAATGCAAATAACTGGAATAGATTTGGAATGGGGTAAAAAGGGTTTGACAAAAGGCAAACAAGGTTGCATTGCAATTCTTGGTTTGGCCGATAGTTACAAAGCTTTTTTGTCACACAGGTCTCTCCTTATCTAATTTGTATGGTTACTGGCCACTGGCCACCACCTAAGGGTGTGAGCTGTTTTGCAGATTAAATGCTGAGGATTACACCTTTATTAAACCTTTATTCTTTATGTCAATGTTTAGGAAACTATTTCAGTGTGTAAACAATACAATAGCTGGCTTATAGGGGTCAAAAAAACTCATACAACATAAATCCCTGTTTGGAATGCATTTATATCCTGCTTGTATAATCAATACGCTAACGTCCAATGAAGCAGATTTCCAACCAGTTTTACAAAGTGCTAATTTATCCACTCGATGAAGCCTAAATAATGGGAGTTGTCCGACCGGTCAAAGCGCTGCACCCTACATGTCAGTACATGAACACACACACATGCACACACAAACACACGAGCACCGCACCGCCGTGCGCACACACGTACCCACACACACACAGGGGTCAGTATCTTGCCGAAGCACATTTTGAAATGTGGACGGGAGGAGTCCGAGAGCCACCCAATCCCCCGAAGAGGCAAAACGTCACACCATGCTGCCCTTGTTCCAATGCGCCCTGGTAATTATAGGCCACACTTTTATCAAATATGACACCATAAAATGAACAGCTCATTTCTCTTAAGGTCCTCTCCCTCTCTATTTTTGTATCACACATATCCAGTACACACACACACACACACACACACACACACGCTTCACTAATTACACACAATAGAACAGAGGCTAATTTTAGCAAAAGCATTCTAATTTTAGATTTATTTTTCAAATGCTTATGTTCATCAAAGGTCCAACGCTGGTTGGCAACTAGTTGTCAAGGCATGAATATGATTACAAATTGCAGGATCACCTATTTTTCCTTCACATTGATTTAGAAAGATAATAAGGAAAGAAATCATGTTTTCGTAATGAAGACCAATTTTTCCTGGGGATGATGTCGAAATTCTGAAGGAAGGCTCCAAAAAGCCGCTACATCCTAATATCGCATCAGACCCACTAACCCATGTGTAGCTATTAAATGTAATGTCCAATGTGGATAGACATGTGCTGCATAGTGTGTGAATGCATAGAAAGTTTTATTATTATTTATTAACCGCACAACAACTTGGGGTTTGATTACAGGAGACACAAATCATCCATTGACAAGTCGGATGGATGTATACTTATGCCTGAGGCACTTTAAGTGTTCATAAGTGTACTCACTGTTGCAGCTCTGCATCAGTGAGCGCAGTAGACTGCAGCAGGTGCAGCAGATGGGTGGACTCTGAAGATGTGCATATATCTCCCTCTTTGGCGCCTTTGACTGTTAGCTTGTAGAGACTGGAGCAGCTGAGAGCCAGCTCCAAGGCATCCATCCAGCACCTCCCTGGAGACGGGAACATTTTAGCGACCAAGTAGGAGCACATTCGATAAATTGCTTTTGTGAAATTGAATAATGAAAAAATGCCACAATGTGCATCTCCAACCAAAACAACAAGACATACGCCTCACCGTCAGACTCAGAAGCTGCTCTAAAGATCAGGGAGTTGCTGGGTAGAGGCTGCGTGATGGAGCCAACGTTCTCTCCCTTGGGACCCTGAGCATGCAGATGAAACAGTGAGTCACACCTAATGCCATTTGTGTCAGGTTGCACCAAACAGAAGAGAATGGCTCCCTGAAGCGCACCAAACAGTATGATTATCTCTTCAAAACGATTGTGTGAAAATAACAGCAATGACAAAAATACACTTGTTTAGCTCTTAGTGGGTCACGCTCTGACGAGCAGTGTGAAAAACTGAACTCTGGAGCCATGTTGATCATGTGTTTGAAAAAATAAATAAATGCCAGCGAGCCTGCAAACATGTCTGACCTTGAAAGCCCAGATGGATTTGTCCAGAGGGTGATAGAGCTTGAAGCAGAAGCCGTCCTTCTTGGAGGGTCTCTCAATCAGCTTGCACGCGCTGAGCAGGATGGTGCCCACCCAGTGGTCCGCCTTGGGGGTCTTATAGATCAAAAGAACCCCGGGCTTCAGAGCACACCACAGCTTGGTCCAACCCTTTAAAGAGCCACGGATCTAAAAGGAGTCCAAGCGATGACATAGAAAGAAATCTTAGTAAGGGACAATCATGGCAGGATGTTTGTGTGATCTATATTCCACTACTTATCTGGGGACAGGTGACGTTATTTTCATTATTATAATAAAAGGGAACTAAAGGACTGACGTACAGGATGCAAAAAAGGCCAAACCCTTAAAACGGTTCCACAGATATTTGTAACAAGAAGTGCTCAAATTACAGCCAAGAGGATAACCAGCAAAACGATAAATCACAGATGACAAAGAGTCTGAATGCAGATATCATGGTTCTATGTCAATATAGTAGCTCTGTCTAATGAAGATCCCCACACCTTTAGCCAGTTGGACATGATGACGACACTCGGATCCTTTAGTGCACTAAATAGTTCTTTGGCCGCCCGCTTCTTTTCTTGCCTGTAGTTCTGCTTTTGGAGCTGTGAAATGGAAAAAAACAACACATGAATGAGTCATCAGTCTTACTGGTGAGGTACACTAGATGGTAGTAGAGTTAACCAGTTGCCTTACAAGCACGCTGTTGTCTTTGGTAAATTATTAACATGAATCACTGTGGATCATTTGAAAAAAAAAAAACGTACACATTTGAAATACTACTAAAATACTAAGAGTTGAATCACGTGCACTTTATGATACCTCCAATCGCACAATAAGGCTTGGCATTTTTGCACAACTGTCCCGGGGAAGGAAGTGATGTGTACCTTTAGAGACTCCTTACGGGCCAGCTTCTCTGTGGGGGAGGGGCACTCCTTCTCAACACCATTAAACATCCTGGACTCCGACTGAAAGGAGGAGAGGAGGCATTCAGCGAGGATGAATAATACAGACAGAGAGATTTGAATAAACTAACGCCTTTAAATATCGAATCCTCAGTGAGGATTTTTGTTTGCCAAATCTATTAGTATCATTTATAATTTTACAGCATCCTAAAAAAAAAATCATATGGGACGATATGATCAACTGTAATGACGCAGTCCTTTCAGACAAACAATTTACAGTTCACTATCAACACTGGCTCGCTTTATGAACCACAAATTTAATTGTCGGTCTCAGCCACGTAGCGTCTCCGATTAGTGTCAGTGTGTACAAAGCAGCCGGAAGCAGAACCCTTTCGCTCACAACGTTAATTTAGTTCTGGTGTTGTGACCACAAACGTCCCCTCTAAGCGATCAAAGAGCACTCACTGTATGATGGGCTCCACTCGGGGGGGGGGGAAGAGATTAGAGTCTCAGGGGTAAATCATTCTGTGGCGTCCACGTGATGTGTCATTTCATTACCATTGGTTCTGTGTGCACTAAATCTATGACTCACAATTGGTGAGCCAACACGTGTGCTCAGTCGCATCTACTTGTGTTAAAGGAAGCCCTTCTAAAAAAGCATAGTGCACTGTTGCCTTGTGTAAACGACGTCATGCGAGCATAATGCTGCACTCAGTCGCCCTTCGTCCCATAAGGGCTTTCGGGGGGGCCAAAGGGCCAGAGACGCAGCTGCGCCAGTGAATTATTTCACATATAAATAGGCGGTATTGCGAGGCAAAGTGAACCAGAAAAGGAAACCCAAGAGAGGATGAGATCACTCCGTCGCTGCTAGAAACATTTATTGATCTCGACCAATTAGTATTTCTAAAGAACGGAAGTAGGTTGTTTAGGTTTGGGTCCAATACATGGCTTGTGGTTGGGTAGACACAGTTCCCACCGCCATTGAGAGGAAAAGTGGGATCAATATTAGTATTTGTTAAAGGGCCATTCACGTCATCCGATATCATAAGAGTACTGCATCGCAAAGATGGGAAAACAATCTGGTATTATAGTATATTATATATAAAAAAACTAGCTAATACTACAAGAAATAAGAGAGAAACAAATTATCATAGACTACAGGAGGAAAGAGGCTCCTAAAGAGTGGTTAGAGTGACGATGTGTGTTCTTACCTGGCTGCCTGGTGATTGGGCCGGACTGAGTTCATTACTCAGCATGGAGAGCCCGTTCCTGTCTGTGTCACTGCCTGCTGGGAAGCCACAACACACACAGCTCCGTGAATCAAAGCATGGCAGCCGTTCATGAGCCGCAGTTGACGTTCATTGATTTGTATGGAACAAGTGCTGTGCAACACACTATGACATGTAGAACATGGAATACGCTTGCAATTTCGTAGCAAGGCTTCGAGCTTGAGGTCTGTTACCTGGGCTGAGGCTGTAGAAGTCGTTGTCTCCTTCATAAGACAAGTTCCGGGTGAGTGTGGGAGGGTCAATTGTAGGGGGGGAGGTGGCGTTGGGGCACAGAGAAAACCTCCGATGGAACAGATTCTCCTCCTTCATCCTGACAACGTGCTCGTCCTCTGCAGGGAGGGAACGGCAGAGGGGGGGGGGGGTTTAATTAGATTTCTGCATGAATAAATGTTCATCTAATATTAGGACTTTAAACCTGTGGAAGGGATTATTCCTTCCTTTGCAGCCCTTCTCCTTATGAACGTAATCGTACTCGTCGCATGCCTTACTGTAAAGGCCCTCCTCGTCTCTTGTGTCTGTTTGTGTAAATGTATTTGCGTGTCTGGACCCCTTCACATCACCGCCCCCCACCCTCCCTAACACTAACAAAGACTTACTGTACCAGAACACGTCAGCCTGTCCACATAACAGCACCGTGCGTGGCAGTGACAAGCACTCCAGACAGCACATTGTGTATGTGTATGACGGACAGTGTCTCCCAGCAAGTCCAGTCTCTCTGTCCACAGAGAATCACTGTCCAAGACCGACCACACCCTCAACGCCACTCTTCCTCCGTCCTCCCAGTCGGCCCTGCAACAACCGGCTTCCCTCAAAGACAAGAAAAGCACCGGAACAACGGGAAACAGGCATTCAGGACGCATACTGGAAATAATCGCTTTTCCCCTCGACTGAGCTCAGCAAGTGGGGGAACTATTCTTGTCGTGTTATTAACAAGTGATGGGGATCCCGTCTCCTCCCAGGCAGATGTAGACAAAATGCTTCTCGTTCGAATGGGTGTGGAGCTGATCATAGCGAACCGCGGGCCAATGGAGCTCCACCCGAACGCCCACACTGTTAATTACTCAGATCAATACAACCTCTCTTGTCTTTCAGTTCACCGACACGTACTGACTCCAAGCCTACGGATGCAGTCTCGCTTACTAGGCCTTAATTGCAACACTCAAGAACTGCCGGCGTTACACTCACATTCAGGGTGTATTTTCACAGACCGATTCATCATTCTGGGGTGATTACACTGGTGCAGGAGGACAGTGCCGTGTCCCAAAGTGTGCACACTTCTAACTGGTATAAGTAAAACCTGAAAAACTGTACCCTCCCTGTAAGGTACGTGCGCACTCACATCCACACTCGTCACACCGCTTCCTGCCTCTGTGACTCATTCTCCCAAGCCTCCCGACTCCCTCCATATTTTCGGATGTTGCAATCTCCCTCCTTCTCCTGCCCTGTGCTCCTTTCAAAGAGACAGCCACGAACAACCAAGACACGAGAGGGAAATGCATTTATTAGCTCCAAAAAGGAGCCTCGTTTGTCCCGATGGAGCGTGTCTATAAATAGCATTCCATCGCTGCACTGCAAGCGTGCATCTGTAGTACCGCGCTGAACCCTGAGGCTGAATAGAGAACAGCATCGAGCTCTAGAATTATACGTCAGTAAACCCGGCGGGCTGCCCGACTGTATCCAAAAAGACACAAATGGGGAATTAATACCACTTACAGTGCAGGGCCCTGGGGCTGGTCAAGATGTGGGCAGACATGAACAAACCAATCACAGCTGGTTCTCCCAGCTGCGGGGCGGAGATCTGCTGGCAGAAGGACTGTGTGTGTGTGTGTGTGAGCATATTACGCCGTCTAGACTAAGAATGGGTGTGGAGTCCACACACGCTGGATGTGTTTGAAATGTGTGGAGGGGGGCAGTCAGTTGAGCGTATAACGGGTCCCTCCCCAATAGTTTCATTTGTTGAGTGAGGAAAGCTTGAAATGTGAGCGCGTGGAAGGGCGTACGTGGCTGTTACAGCGTGCCCTGCCTTCAGATACACATGCACACCGCGCAGCACCAGAGGAGGGGGAAAATGCTCCTCTGCGGTCCCAGCAGCAGGGGGGCGGTGCGTTAGTACACAAGCACAATGGCATGAGAACACACACATCACGCACACACATGCAGTTGGGTTGTGAGTGACAGTATGACAAAATCAGAGGAGGTCTGTTCTAGGTCCTACTTATAAACAGGTTTTATTTAAAACTTACTGTCCAAATATGACTGAAAAATATAAAAGTTCTCTGAAGTGACACATTTCAGCGATAACATTTACAGAAATAAGAGGAGGAAATAGAGATAGTGCCACTGGAAGGGAAAACATTACATTTTTGGTTGTTGCTTGGAGTCATTCTACCCTTTGTTTGCCTTTGGAATAATACTGAAACATGCAAACGTGCTAAATCTCAACTCTCAAGAACTCCTGTAGCACCTAATGTTTGCCAAGCCAACGTTTGTTCCTTGTGCAACTGCTGTGCTACACATGTGCTGGACTAATATTTATTCAGTGATAGGAACAACTTGTAAAGAAAGATACCAGTAACAGGAGCACCAGACCAGTTACTAACACTCATTCCACATTCACCTTGAACTATGAGAAAAACAGATAAAACAACAACAAAAGTTATCTGACCCACAGTGACCTTGTTGAGGGGAAAGCACTCGTTTTGCTGACACATGGGGCCCGCTGGTTTTTACTAATCATTACACCTGCCGGGAGAAGTGAGGGAAAACAGAGCGAGGGGAACATGTCGACATGTTCCAACTTGCAGATTGTTAGCACGCGTGAAGGATCAAACTGGCATTCATCTCCGTCTCTCAGGGCAGCAGATGTGTTGCCCGCTAGTAACCTTGGATAGTTTGTATTATTATATTGTCATATTATATTACCATACCCAACAAGAAATACACCAAAGACAAAGATTCACATTATTCACAGACTGGAATTTGTTTTATATAACTGACAGATGCAGTATTTTGTCATTGGCTTGAAACACAAGAGGTTAAACCCACTGAGACCAAGCTGAGTAACCAGTCTGTCCTGCACAACCGTGTTGTTTGTCAGCTGGAAGAGGTCAGCCTGGTAAATTAGATTTTTGGTTAAATTCACAGTGAAAGAGGCTGCCAATTTTGTTTCTCACAAAGTGCAGTAATGATAAAGTATTCATCAACTCGATCTGTCAACCCTAGAGCTATTTAATGCAGAAAATGCCATTTGGAGTTCAAGTTCCCAGATTTAGTGCCAATGTCGGACATTCACCCCGTCTCTTCTGTCATTCCCCGTACGGTCTGCTTATGTACCCTGTGTGGGTTGGTGCAGGCCATCTCACATGGCAGGGATACACAGCGCTGTGGTGGATTGCAAGTAGGATGTTAATTATTTTGTGTGTGCGTGATTCAATACTGGCATATTAGTTTGGCCCAACGCATTTCCAACGCTGGAAAAGAAGTTGTCCAATGCATGAAAATGCACGGCGCTTGGACATATTGTTTAGGAGGTACACAGCGGGTCTCTGCAGCTCTGTGCTAGTTCAAATAATCTCTGTGGCTATTCAGCATGCTCTGCCCGAGCTGTACTGCATGAAAGTTCTGTATCTGACCTTTATTCCAGTCGTGACCTTCTGCCAGCAGGTGACAAATATGTTGTCGATACCTAAATGGTCAGTGAAACAAAAAAAGGTCGGCTACACGTTTTCAGCTGACACGCCGCTATTAGCTTTGTCACTGGATGTTTCATTTGTGATATTTTGCACATTCAGACTTGAGGGCTGATGGAATACAGGGTCATGGCGTTATTAGCATACATAAAAAGGTCATTATTTTCCTTGACAGTATATATATATATATATATATATATATATATATATATATATATATATATATATATATATATATATATAATATCAGATTACTAAATGGGGATCCTTTATGAGACTGCAAGCGGCAGCAGTACATGCTGGTCAGAAAAAGGCTTTCACTGGGCGCAAATGTCACCCTTATTTGGAATGTAAAACATAAACAGGGAATACCTTCACAGTTCAGTGCACGTAACTGCCAAGTACAATGGTTTAAGCACTGTTCATCAAAATGATTATTTTAGGAACAGGAAACTGCTTTAATTTCAGGTCAAGCAAACATAATTCAGGGAAAACCGGAAAATATCTATATAGGTTTATTTAATCCATACTGCCACTTAATATTATAATAAAAGACAACCAGCAATTGTCACGGAAAACTTTTTAAAGACCCACCCCTCCAACACCCATGTGTATATTCATAATTTAACCATTTCTGCCCCCACCCCAGTTGGGTGACTCAGAGTTTAGAAGTGTGAAGGCATCTTATTGAACTTTCACAGACAACCAAAGTACGTCACGGACACCCGCTTATTCTGAAACATCTGGAACCAAAATTGAAACACATACATCCTTAACACGAACCCCAAAATCTCAACCTAGCTTATGACAGTGGACAACAAGAGCCTTAAATGGTGTAAAGAAAAAGGGTAATTATTTGGCATTCTTGGCCAAATAATGATACCCTTTATCAGAATGTCAATGTCAGGCTTGATAATTGCACGTGTGTGCGCGCGTCAACCATTGCCCACTGCAATATGTGTATGAGAGCCTTGCAATTCCGACAACCAGCATCAAGCCAGCTGTTGCTAATATGATGGCACAGATTAAGTCCAGACACTCTCCATCCTTCCATCTGTCCTCCTTTCAGCACCCCCAGCCCTGTTAACGCCCACTCCCCTACAAGACTAATGGATGGCCACATGACCTACATATCCACCAATGGACTCTCGACAGTACGTACATAAACAACAAAAAACACAACATGCAGTATTAGTGTTTTCATTTCACGTGAGCTGCATTTCAACCAGAGCTTCTTAAGGTGCAGAGATGGTTTCTGTCCCCTCAACAATCTACCTGTTCAACCCCATTTACCATCCACAAGAAATGAGCCGTCATGTAACTTCTCATCTACTGACACATCTTGTAAAAGAAAACACAAGGATAAGCAGAAAATGATAATGGTGCTCTCTCAACACAGTCATTATTTTCGACAAATATTACATGGATAATTGCAATTATGGGTGATAAAACAACCTTTCAAACCATTTCAAAACACGAAAACTAACTAACTTAAACATCTACGTAACGTAACAGGGCAGTCGTTCTCTTACTTTGAAAAAAGTAACACTCACTAATGTTCAATTACTGAGTGTAATTAACAACATTTTTTTAAAAACTCCAGTCAGTAATTACAAACATCTTAAAATCTCAAACTAAAT